TACTCGTAGGCCTGGGTACATACGCAGGACCCGGTAGATAAATTTGCCAGATCGCTTGTTTTTTAAGCCAATCTCTGATTACCTTTTTATCGAGTTTTGTTTTATCGTGCAAATGATCGACGGCACTTTCACCTCTCCAATAACCGCTTGGACTATAATACAGTTCAGATAATGTTTGCATAATTTTATAAAAGACGTTTATAATAATATGTCTGGCTTTGCTATGATGTTAGGAGGTGCGATCGTCAACGCCTTAGCTTTTACGGGTTCAAACTTTTTATTTTCAAATCTGAAACAGAGTGATGCTGACGAGGAGCGTAAGAGACACGATTTAGCGATAGAACAACTCTCAGCCGCCAAAGATAAGTGGCAACGAGAACGAACGGAGTATCTAGATTTTCTCAACGAACGTATCAGAAAACAAAATGTCTCTAAAGAAACATTTTCCAACGTAGACCGAGCGTTGCGTTACTACAACGAGGTGAGTGGACAGTCTACCGAACTACCTGTAGGACTGCAACGCGAACCCAAACTCGAAGATTTTTACGAGCCTAGCGACCAACAAATAGAAAAAGAACTAGCATTTATCGCGGGAGGAACGCTAATCTTATCTTTTTTAGCTTACAGATATCTTTAAATTTAAAATCTCTTATTATAAAATGAATGCGTATGGAAAAAAGCTCAATCCCAGAAGGCTGTTGAGAGTACCCAGATCTATCAAAGGTGAGAGAAAAGAGGTGGTCATTACCCACAATCCCAGTAGTATATCAGCGGGGCAAACGCTGAGAGTCAAGTTTCCTCAATTAGGCGTAAACGACGTAATCGTACCCGGCACTTGTAAACTAGCTTTCAATCTAGAACTCGACGGTGGAAGTGACGATAATAGAACCATTTATAACAATTTAGCTAGAAATTTAGTCAGCGAAATCAGCGTAAGGCTTCAAGGTCACGAAATTATAAGTTATCGTCACGCTGACGTATATCACAACTTCAAAGATAATTGGATTAACAGCGAGGCAACTCGAAACATGGCGTACTCAGGCATAGAAAAAGAAAACGTGTCTAAACTAAGAATTGGAGCTGCAGATGGTAACACAGGTGCTAACAGCGGTAAAGATCAAGCTATCGCGAATGCCTATGGTAACAGATACCACATCCCCCTAGACATTGACATACTAACTTCACATCACCCCTTTTATCCAAGCGGTTTAAGACAACCTCTGACGTATGAGATAAAGTTTAACGATCATGATAAAGTAGTCAGCAGTTCAGATACAGCGGCGATGTACAGTGTCTCAGACTTGTCTCTCGAATACGAAGTGGTGACTAACAGAGACCTAGCTATGACCATCAGAAATAAACACAAGGGGTTACTGCAATATCTGTTTGATCGAGTCCACTCGCTAGAAGTTAGATCCGTCAACAAATCAGACACGCTTTGGAACGTCAGCGTTAATCAACCCATAAGGAGTCTCAAGGGTATTTTGTTTTTGTTTAAAGACCCTTCAGTCAAAAGCCCTCAGCGATTTTATAATCCAAAAGTAACCAAAACATCAGTGACTGTAGAAGGTAAACCTAATCAACTCTACAGTCAAGGCATGTTTCAATATCAACACTGGAATGAAATAATCAAGTTCTTTGGAGACAGCGATACAGAAAGCGGGCGTGGAGTAGCTAAAGACTTGAATTTGACGGGCTTTGACCTTGGAGACTATCTAAAAGACAAGTATGGTCTGTGGCTCGATTTTAGAAGTAACGACGACAATTCCGCTCACGGATCTGGTAGGAAACTCGGAGACGGAGGAGGCATCAACATCCAATTTAACAGAGAAGCCGAAAGTCAAGGTGACCTCACGATGTACGTCTTTTTGGTCATGGATGCTCAATTGAACTTGGAAGACGGAAATTTTAAATCTCTGTTAAGTTAAAATGACAGGCTACATTCTGCCGCATTGCGCTTTAATCGTCGGCAAAACAAATTCGGGTAAAACCAAATGGATTTTGGATCTGTTAGAGTCAGACTATAAAAATACATTTGAAGCGATAGTCATCATTTGCCCTACCGTATTTAAAAACAAAACGTACATCGAAAGAAAGTGGGTTTACACAGATCCTGAGGTATACCTCTGCGATCCGGAATTGTACAAGATGACGCTCAACGAAGCGATCGATTTTTACAGGAAGGTATTCGAAGGTGTTGCCACGCTGTTTATCGTGGACGATTGCTCTTCAGATCAAGAGGTTAGGTATCGTAAAAAGACGTGTGCGCTAAGCAAGATGGCGTTTAGCGGAAGACACTTTAATCACAGCTGTTGGTTACTAACCCAAAAGTACAACAGCGTTTTAAAAGATTATAGAGAAAACACGGCTTGGTTGGCATTATTTTATTGCAAAGATAAAACATCGTTTGATCAAGCGTTAGACGAAAATGACGTCGTACCCATTGAACAACGCGATGGTATAAAACGACATTTGAGAGATGTCAGGTATAGTAAATTAGTCGTATACACCGAACCTCCGGTTAGTTACGAGCTACTTGAGGGGTAAACAATTGAGTAACGCAAAATGCTCTTTAGAACATTTTGTCCTAAAGAGCATTTTGCGTAAGTAAAAAGCTTGTTAGTTATTGACTTGGTTAGATTTCCTTTTAACGTTGCAACTTTTACATGCCAACACACAATTACTTTTAACGTGCCCGATTGAATTATCTAAGCGTTCTATCGTTGCCATATCGTCATTAAAAGTATCGTATTGCAGCGCGACTTGGCAATCATCGTAATAACAATTTTTATAGTCCTCTGTAAGACCTCTTAAAAAATCAGTGTCGATAAAAAGTTCTGGATTATATCTATCTTTATCTTTATCCTTCTTTCGGCAACCCAAGATCCATCTTGAAATAGTAAACTCTACGGCTTTACAATCATCACTTTTACAATCCCTACATAAGCAGCGTTGACGACCGTGCGTGCAGATACTAGAACCACCGCAATCTTTACATAAGCAGCGTTGACGACCGTGCGTGCAGATACCAGAACCACCGCAGTCTTTACATAAGCAGCGTTGACGACCGTGTGGGCAGATACTAGAACCGCCGCAATCTTTACATAAGTAGCGTTGACGACCGTGTGGACAGATACCAGAACCACCGCAGTCTTTACATAAGTAGCGTTGTCGACCGTGTGGACACTTTCTTTGTTTCAGTTTACTTCTACACTCATCACAGGTTTTGTACTTTCCACCGTTTGCTTTGGTGCTTAGATCTTCACTTTTACAAAACTTACAAACGTTTGATTTTGAGTAATAATTTTGCTTATTTTTATCTCTTCACTCATTACACGTCTTATAAGCTTTACCGTTTGATTTTATACCAAATTGCTCGCAGGATTTATGGCACTGACCACAAACTTTTAACACTTCCATTTATATATGCGATGATAATAAAAAAAAATTATAATTTTTTTTTATTAGCGATTATTTTTGCTGAGTTTAAAAACTCAGCAAAAATACAGTACTCAGTTGTTTACAACTAACTACTGAGGTGTTTACAACTAACTACTCAGTTGTTTACAACTAACTACTTAGGTGTTTACAACTAGCTACTCAGTTGATTACAACTAGCTACTTAGGTGTTTACAACTAACTACTCAGTTGATTACAGCTAGCTTTATAACTAGCTTTATAGTAAATGATAGCAATATTAGAGTATTTGCAGTTTTTGGCTATTGTCGTCATATCGATTAATTTATCGTTTTACACATACGAATACCTTCGCTTTTGTAACAAAGTAGCAAAAGCTGCAACAAATTTTAATTCGCTTTTAATTAAATGGATGACCTTAAACTGACTTTAACAAACGAACAAGATCACAACGAAGAACATAAAGATCGTTTGTGCGGTGTCGTAGCAGCCGGAAACTCTAGAAAGTACTTGGGAAAGGAATACACCGTTGAGCGTATCAAAGCTCTTGACAGCAAAGAACTCGACAAGCTGTATCATCTGTACGAAACTAAATTTGGAAGTGAAATTGTTCAAACCGTTGGTAGGTATACTTTAAGTATATTCTCTCGCGTGTTAGCTGTGGTTACACCCGTACAAGTTTTAGGATATAACGTCACTATAGATTCTGAAGAAGAACTCACCAACGACTTGAGTTCTGATCCTATTATAAGCGCGAGTATGGCTGGTATGTTGAGCGACATTTGTTACAAGTACGGAACCCTTTTATCACCTCTAGTTGCTACGATTATAACAACAAAACATTTAAAATTTAACAAAGGTATTATAAATGGAAGATCAGAAAGTAGCGACGCCAGCAGCGATCACAGCTCAACCAGCAGAGACAGCAACGCCAGCGGAGACAGAGACGCCTCAGCCGACGGTAACGTCGGTGTCGACGGTAACGAGAGTGACTAAGGCTAAAAATCCTAAACGAATACAGCAGGGTAAAGCTTTAGCTGAGCACAATAGGCAAATGAAGTTAAAATTAGCAAAAATGGTGACATCAGACGAAGCTACGAGCACACCAGGCTACCCAGCGCGCCCAACGCGCTGGGCGATGTGGGGTGCCATAGCGTCAATAATAGGAGTGGGGTTGCTGATATACAAAGCAACTGCGTCTGTAGTACAGCCAGTGCCGGTAGTAACGCAACCCGCGCCCAGCGCACCCAGCGCGCCTAAGACTCTAGACATGGAATAAAATAATAATTATAATAGTTATTATAAAAGATGAGTAACTTTGACACCAACGGAATAGCTAATACGATTTATCACGGAGCCGTCATATCAGGTCTGGTGATGGGATACGCCATGGTAGGAAATAAACTACTCAGAATGAAAGCGCCGGATTTAGGTAGATTAAGCGTAGAAGATGCGGGTAAATTGACAGGTATTATAAGTGGAGCTCTGGCCACGCAAAATTGGTTGGTGGCCCAGGGTATACTACCAGGCAGTATAATGAAAACGGTATAACTTTTGTTGATTATTAAATAGGTTTTATTTAAATGGCTGAAGGAGGATATGACTTTGACCGCGTTGTTGACAACGATTACGATGAAGACAAAGAAGACGATGACTATGAAGAAGAGACTAATGTAGATGACGACTTTGAATTTCCTCCACAACCGATAGGCATAGAAAACGCCCTGGGCACGGGGGTAATAAGCAGTTTATCTACAGAAATATTAAAAGAAGATGTTGATTCATTTTACAAAGAAAATGATATAGACCCCCCGCCTTCAGACTACAACAACTTTGAAATTGGTGAAGACGGAAATCTATATGTTAACATATAAAAGTCGAAAACAATTAACTTTTAGACGGGGTAATAAAAGATTATATTACAAATTAAATACCTTAAAAAAGGATTATGGTATCTCATTTATTCGCAACATCCTCAAAATTGCTGACTATAAAACAGCACCACTTGACAAAGCAAAAGAAAAACTCGAAGAAATACAACCCGAGAGTACCACCATGGAAGAACTATCCGGAGAAGCCGATAAGATAACCAAGATTATAAACGATTTGCCGCGCGACATCGAAGTTCAAACAGAAGATTTTCAACGCGACACTGACACTCAAACGGAAAGATTAAATTACAGAGAACTCCAGGGGTTAAACAAAAATCTTCAGACGTTGAGTGGTAGCCTAAAACTGAAATTAGCTCGTCTTAGAGAACTCGATGATGAGATAGCAGCCACGAGACAAGATTTTTTCAAATCTCACAGCAAAGAAAAACGACAAGAGTTAAACTATAAATTGAACGACTTAAACGTTGAAAGAGACGCCAGATTAGAAGTCGCAAAAATTGACGAACAAGAGCTCAGAAGTCAGATCACTAGAATCAAAGAAACGATTGGTAGAATATTAGACAACTATAAAACAACACCAGTTGCCAAAGCAAAAGAAGAACTTAAAGAAGTACAACCCGAGAGTACCACCATGGAAGAACTATCCGGAGAAGCCGATAAGATAACCAAGATTATAAACGATTTGCCGCGCGACATCGAAGTTCAAACAGAGGGGTTAAATTTCAGAGAACTCCAGGGTTTAGATAAAAGTCTTCAGACGTTAAGTGGTAACCTAAAACTGAATTTAGCTCGTCTCAATCAACTCAATGATGAGATAGCAGCTACAAAGCAAGAACTCAACGAATCTCACAGCGAAGGAGAACGAGAAGAGTTAAACGCTAAATTGAGCAAATTATACGTTGAAAGAGACGCTAGATTAGAAGTCGCAAAAGCCAACGCAGAAGGACTCAGAAGTCAGATCATTAGAATCAAAGAAACGATTGGTAGAATGTTAGACAGCGACACGACTCTGGCAGAAAAGATTAGGACTCTGTTTAGAGAACAAGGTGTGACCTTAGTGAGTATTTTAGTCGCTTTTAGTTTAGCCATCAGCACCATAGTGAGTAGCATCGTCGCTAGCGTGAGAGGCGCGGGTGCCCCACCCGCGCCATCGCCAACACCAACACCAACACCAACACCAAAAGGCGGTATCAAAGAGTGGATTTCAAAACAACTCGCTAATTTTGCATCTGCTCTTCAAAAACTCGGAGTGAGCGCGTTGGGTGCTCTGCCGGGTATCATAGGCAGCGTACTGAGTTGGATATTTAACGTGTTGAGTAAGTCCGTATCGTGGTTGGCCGAACACGTGTGGGCTTTGTTTTTGGGTGTGGGAGCCTTGGTGTTTGCATACCTGCAAAAACGATGGTAGTAATAGTTGTAATCAAGTTTAAACACCCCAAAAAAAAAAATAAGCCTTACCAGCACAAAGTTGGTAAGGCTTATTTTTTTTGGTGAGATCAGAGTGTGACTTATCGCGTTGCCTCGTAAGCCAAAATACCCATGCCAACGATAGCTAATATTCCTACCGTCAACGATAATTTTTCGTCTTGGTGAGTTTGTAGTTTCGTGGGCTCCTGTGTTAAAACTGTAGGTGTTGGTGAGGGTGTAGGTGCTGGTGTTGGTGCTGGTGCAACAACATCGTTCGTCATAGGCTCTGGGGGTGTAGGTGGCGCGACGGCATCGGTGTCATCAAAAGAGTCGTCCGGTTGAGGTTGTGAGTTTAAATCTGGCACCAAACCAGTTTTCATAATCTGGGTAGCGATTTGAAGATTGTTGTTATAGCCGTCGTGCGTTCCAACCCTCAAGTTCATATCCGATGGGATCAGGTACAACCCCGGTTTCACGACAAAATTTAAAGGCGTTCTGGCATACTGCAAAGAGTCTTGAAATTGATTGATACTCGTTTCCATGTCGTCTACTGCATTGATGATATCTTCAACAATGACGTTAAATTGTCTCTGAGCGTCTAATCCGGTGCCCGGTGTTAACACGCTCGTTTTTGTTTGAGCCTGCGCACCGAGTAAAGCGTACACGTAAGATCTGATCGATTCGTTGATCTTTATGATTCCCGCGGAGGTAAACAAACTCTTGGCGGGGATGAAGTCTAACCAAGCCTTTTGTACTGATTCATTTTGTTCGATAAAGGCTACGGTGTAATCGCTATAACGCCCCGAACCCTTGGGTGGATCGTCCAAACCAAACCCCATTTTAGTTCCACTCATCATATCTTTACGATACTCACTATACTCGAGATTAAGGTCGGTTGTATCATAATCGTTTCCGGGTACGGGTACGTAAGACGTGTCCCAATAATAAGCTATACCTAAACCGTTAGAGTTTGTGTCTCTCGTCTGTTTAAAAGACTTGTTTTGATCTATGCCAAACAACAAACAGGTATCGGTAAAAGCTCTGAGATTATAACTGTTGTCTAGAGCGCTAAATGCGTCATCTCCTGGTAAAGGAGCGGCAAAGTCGTACAGGATCTTTCTAACCGTAAAATATAAATGAAAGTTAAAGATGGCCCAAACGTAACGGTTGCTCGCGTTTAAAAGATCGAATCCAACACCGCAGCCCGTAGTAGCGCAGTAGATCGCAAAATTTAACTGATTTTGATAAAACGACATGGGGTGTGATTTCCAACGATCTACATCCTCATCCGTTTTGATGCGAGGTAATTTATAGTCTGAGGTTAAGTCGGGGAACAAGGTTAAAAACCCTTTGGTATTATTAACTATAACTTCCAGTTCACTGGGTTTAGTGCTGTTTAAAAACTTTGCTTGACTCATTATTTTAGTTTTATTATAAAGGGACTTTAAAATAAATGCATTCGTTTCACTTGTTTCAAAATGAGCAGACGTTTAAATTAGAAGACGTTGTAGATAATCTAAACGGTCAAAAATCTGTACGCGTAAGAAGGGTGACGTTTAACCCCGGATATTTTAATATTTCCAGCGCCACGGAGATTGATTGGTATACGCATATAGATGGGAGACCAGCTAAAAGACTTAATGATGATAGAAGATACGAACAGGTTGACTCAAATATAGCAGTAAGAACAGATAGAGATTTTATTGAATCGTTGATACCCGAGTACCCCTACGACTATTTAATTAACGACGAAAATACTTTCAACAGAGTTATAAACGATCTTATAGAAGCGTACGAAGAAGATAGACTAGACTCTGCTTTAGAATCGATCGAAAACGAAATAGGACAAATAGAAGGAATAAAAGGAACTTTAACCATTAAAAAGAGAGATAAAGGAACACTATCCGACGTACAAATCAATACGATTAATTTTTTAATAACAATTATAATGGAAAAAAAAGGCTTTATCAATGAAGGTAAAAGGATAGCGCTAGAATATATCCAAGGTACAATAAGCAAACCTAGAGCGAGAGTAATTAGACAAGCTGGGGTGACAATACGGGGAAGTCTTATCGTGTCGGGTGATGATTTAGATTTTATTTCTCCGAGTCTTTTAGCGCCGTTACCAGCCGGAGTCACCGGTTCGGTCACCATACCACCGGGGTGGTACGACGTCGATTGGTTTGATTTCATTTTAAACTCTATACCCGGGGTAAGTTTTCGAATATTTAGAGAATCTAAAAATGTGACGTTGGTGGTAACCGACGTAAATCTCAAATTGCGCTTAAACAGAGAAGTCTCTCGATTACTCAATTTACCCAAAGGAAGACTGGTACCCAAAGTGGTATATACGGGGTCTTACAACGTTAATCCGTTTAAATTTTTGTTTATTCGCTGCCCGCAATTAAGTACGAGTAAAAACTTTTTTGATGGTCGTCCGTCTGACATATTAAAAATCATACCCGTGGCTACGCGCAAACCCGAGCCTGATAGAGTCGAAGATTTCAAGAAACTTAAAAACGGTATAATCGACAAACTTACATTTTCAATCATAGGTGAAAAAGGACAGATCATCAACAACAAGGGTGTGAGTATAATGATAGAGTTGGAGATCTTTTAATTTTAAAATCTTTTTATATTAAAACATGAGTATAGATAGTAAGGCCTTATACCCCGATATTTCTGGAGATGTACTCCGATTAAATAGTAACGAAGAAACAAAAGTGTACAGACTTAAAAAGATTGAAGAGATTCGATCTTTAATCTTGAAAGAGAGAGACCATAGAGAGCGCACCTATAAAAAAATAAAGAGAGTGATCGACACGATTAATTACGTAGAGATAGGATTAGAAGGATTGGGGGCTATAGCGGGGGCTGTCAGTATTCCCGCTCTCTTAGGTGTTATATCAGCCCCCGTTGGATTAGTGCTAGAAGGAACGTTTATAAGCGCTTTTGGTGCAGATATTCTGCTTAGAATCGCGTCTAGGCGATTATCCGCCAAGCTTAAAAAGCACGATCAGATTAAGATATTAGCTGACTCTAAACTTAACACGATTGAAGAATATGTGTCTCAGGCCATCAACGATGGGGATATATCGCATGAAGAGTTCTTATTGATTACAAGAGAGCTCGCAAAATTTAACGAGCTTAAGCAAAAAATCAGAACAAAGACCAGCACAAAGCTTCAAAAGATTAAAAACGATACAGACTTTGAAAAAGAAGTTAAAATACGGGTAGACGAACTGCTGGCAAAGGAAAAAAAATCTCTTATCAAAAAACTTACAAGTTCAAATTCTCGGGAAATAAACACTACGATAGTTTTGGAGACGATCCACCGAGTTATACCTTTCCTCTTAGAGTGTCACCCTCAGCCCCACCTTTAGGGTGTGGGGGTGTTGGTGCTGGTACCTGACGTTTGCCGCGGGGGAGACGTCAGACTATAATTAGGATCGGGGGAATTTGCCACAGGGGATTTTGGTGAGATTTTTTTGCCGCGGGAGATTTTGATCCGGTATCCAACGTCATACTCAAATTTTGGATCCAAATTTCTAAAAATTTTGATCAGATTTCTAAGAATTTGGATCAGATTTTTGTAAAAATTTAGATTAGATTTTTAAGAATTTAAATCCAAATTTCTAAAAATTTAAAATCAAAATTTAGATCAGAGATTTTTTTATCTAAAAATTTTGATCAAAATTTTGATTCAAAATTTTAAAAATTTTGACTGGGGGATTTTGGACTGGGGAATTTGACGTTGGGGATTTTTGAAACGAGAGCGGCGAGCCTGGGCTCGCCGCAGATTTTCCATTTAAGTCTAGCACCCCCACTATCCTTACTACTCAGTCTACACGCATGTTTTTAATTGGTTAATGTTCAGTCCACAGATCCATTTACACCAAATGCAAGTCTATCAACGTTTACTAAAATAATGGGAAAATGGGCACAAGAGAGGGCGTTCTTTTCTTGTTGGACGCCACGCTCCCGTCGTGTGAAGGGTGCAGACCTGTAAATAGGCCCAAAATTGTCTTTTTACTATGTGAGCTAAATCACAATTTGTATGCCCTCGAATTATTTTGCTATTGGATTATTTTGTGGACGGTGAACTTTAAGGTTTGTGAAAAAGATGGGTGGAATCCGTGTACAGGAGTGTGAGCTCGTATTTCTGTGAAACCGGGCCGTAAAATTGCTCTATTTTTCAAAATGGCGATGGGCCACAGGACTACTTTTCGGAGTGAATTTTCTCCCAAAAAAAACCCGGATAATTAACAAAAATTGAACAGAAAATGAAAGATTTAGGAAATAAGCTTTAATTTGAATGATGTCTCAAACACCTTGGAGAGTTGTGAGTATTTTAAATATATTTTGGAAGTAAGTGTAATTATCACTGGGGGTCGATTTACAGGTCTGAAACCTATAGGTTTTCAAAATGGCCGATCGCCGCGCATGCGCTTTATATGCCGCGACAATGGTTTTTCGGTGGGCGGGACCTTGGAGGGGGGACCAGCATTTCAATGGGGTCAAGGAGGGCGGTTCCGCAACAACTTCTCCCAAATCTTAGGGGGCCGATAGGCCATCAGCTGATTACAGCAAATTCGGAAAATGGGGGGTGGCGGGGGGGGGGGAGGAGTTGATTTGGGGTTGGAACGAGCTGGAACTCAATTAACGCCCGGTGCGTGCGCCCTACAGCAGGGCGGGCGCATGCAGAGTGCCTATTTTCAGGCCTGATATCGAACTCGGAGATTTGTTTATCCAAATTTATTGATAAAATATAAGTTATGGCTCCTTCCTCTATCCGTACAAGTTGTTTTGGGAGAAATAGCAACATTTAGGCTATATTGGTGCAGACCTGAAAATAGGCCCAAAATTACCTAAGCGGGCCAAATCACAATTTGAATGCCCTCAAATTCTTTTTTATAAGAGCATTTTGTGGGCCACGAATTTTAAGGGTTGTTTAAAAAACAAAAGGTTGGTGGAAGCCATACACAGGAGTGTGAACTCGTATTTCTGTGAAATTCGCATGAAATTTGGCCCTAAAACTGCTCTATAACTTTGAAATGGAGGACAGGCATCATTTTTCAAAATGGCGATTGGATTTGTCTCCCAAAAGTCATCCGATAATTGAACAAAAACTAAACAGAAAATAAATATCAGACAATAAGGTTTAATTTGATGGGTTTCTCAAACACATTGGAGAGTTGTGAGTATTTTAAAATATTTTTGGAAGTACGCGTAATTATCACTGGCGTCTATGGGAGTCGATTTACAGGTCGGAAACCATAACCATATTTCGCCATGAAAACAGCCGTGGGCAACAATAAGCAAACAACGAGCTGCAGATGTAACCGTCACTGCCTGGTCTTTATACACATAAATTATGCTTACAACAAAGGTTAAGGTACGTAGAGCGCCTTCACCGAGAAGCCTTTGGTCTGCTGTATTACATACGCATGATCAGAGATTTTGGACTTCTATTGTCACTTGAGTAATGGCCAGTCCTCAGAAGGCACTGCACCTTTTCATCTGAGAAGATAAAAGTGGATTATAGACATTGAGAATAAACGAATCTACACCAGTGCACCATGTTCTACAAAATTCACTACACCAACATCATCTTTACAATCAACCAGTCCAGGCATTTAGAAACTCATTCAAATTCTCATTCTTCGTCCGCACCATACCAATATGGAACAGGCTGCAGCTGGAAGCAGTAATAGCACCATCAGTTGCAGCTTTTCAGGCAGTGGCCCTTCCGGCGGTGAGAGACATGCGTCCCACCACCACCCACCAGCAACTCTAAGAAGTGAGGATGTTTTTACTTGCACTTGTATCTATACCGCACCTGCACAACTGCACAACTTGAGTCACCTCGATTTCTTCTCCTTGGAGAAGCAATGTGCTTTTTAGGAGTCTACGCATCAAGCACCAAGCGTCAAGAATCCCTCACACTTTATGTATGCATTATGTAAGCCGATATGCTTAAGTAGGCTCGTCGAAGGCAGGGTAGATCGTTTGTGCATTTTATTTTTTTTTTGAAGCGATAAAAGTGCTCAAACTCCAAAGACGGGTGCTTAACAACCAACATACTGAAGTTGTAACTCTGTGAATGCTGTGTTTCCCGAGAAAACAATATTCTGAATCTCGGTTTCAATTCAGAAATAGCCGAGTCACGTTTTGAATTACACCCGAAATCAGCGTACGGGACAAGTTCGCATTCAGTCGATTGCAGCTGTCCGATGTCATGCACTGAACTGCCGAATAAAAGCAACCGCGCCAACAACACAAATTGTTTGTTCGTTCATAAAGCCATGTTGCAAGTTCTTCTCCTGATGGGCCATCCATTTACATTGACGGTACTCTCCAAGATCGAACGCCCGTTGTACCAAATTCTCAGGCGTTGTAATGATCGCCTTACGTGGAGTGACTGCATTTCTTCACTTACCAAAATCGTTTCACGCAATACAGGTGTTATATCCAAGCTCCGGACCTTTCTGCCATCGACTACTCTTTTCACCCTTTACAATAAACTTATTCTTCCATACCTGAACTACTGCAGCTTTGTGTGGGCACAATCAAGAACTAATCAACTACACTCCCTTATGGTCATTCAGGAGTAAGCCGTCAGGCTTTGCACCCTCTCACAACTACGAGATCATACTCACTGCATCTCAATTTGCCAAACGTAACACACTTAGCCCGGCGCACACATTTCATACTTTACCGATTCACCGGATTACCAAATCACCGGTTCGGTCAGATCAGTCCGAATTTTCAGCGCACACCTCTGAACAACTCGGATGCACGCGATGGCCCGATGATCTGGTGAAACGGCACAATTGGGAAGGTGTGCGCCGGGCTTTGACACTCACGGATATTAACAAACTTCAAGTAAGGATTTCCATGCTCAAGTATACTAAGAAGCTTCTTCCTCATTTATTTTCGACCTTTTCACTTCTGTGCATGACATTAATGAATATAATTCACGTCCTAGAAGCAATCTACGTCCCTTACACTCACACAAGTTTCTCCATGAACACTCTTCGTTTCTGTGGTCCTCGTCTTTTGAGAAGGCTTTAGACACAGCCTTAAAAACACAGTCTTCTGTGGGCCGTTTCAAATCTGCCTAAAAACAATATAATATCTCCCATTACGTATCATACTCTTTCACCTAGTATTTTCACCCTGTATTTTTTTTTTCATAATATTTTTTTCCAATTGCGTATATTAATGTAATGTAGTAGGCCTATATGTTCCATTAATTTTTTTCTAAGGTATTTATATTCTTTCATTGCTATTTAATTTGATCCGATTCCAACGTTTATTTAGATGTTGTGTTCGATTATGTTTTTTACTTATAGTTGCATGATTATTCCTCCCCATTGCATTACATTTTTTTGTTAATCAATCGCCTATTACATTGTATTTATATTCATCCCATGTGTATAGATTGTATCTATGTTTGCCCGATTGTTAGTCTGTCACTGTTGTTAATGGTATTTTGCTGTCACTGTTGGTAATGGTATTTTGTTTCAGGTTTTTTTAATGTAACGGGTTAGGCATCTCCATATCGGCCCTAATCTTCGGTAGATGCCTCCATAATTGCAACTCAGTTTATTGTTCTTTTTATCATAGTTTCTTAGTAATATTGATTGTATTGTTTGTTATTTCTCTTTCTTTGACTATTTTAAATTTTTTGGCATTTTGGAAATAAACGTTGATTGAAAAATGAGGGAAATCAATTCCAATCCTGACAGAGTTGTAATGACTCGAGTCAATGACTCGACTCGAGTCCGACTCGAGTCACATTTTTTGGCGACTCGACTCGACTCGAGTCCCGACGGGTAAATGACTCGACTAGACTCGAGTCACTGCGAGCAAATGACTCGACTTGACTCGAGTCCCTCATCAGAATGACTCGACTCGACTCGAGGAAGGCTAATAAGACTTGAGTCCCAAAATAAAAGCAAAACTTACTTGCGAAAAATATTTGCAATGACTTACGCTGCGCCGTTCGCGTTGCCAGTTTTTGTTCACGTCACGTTAATGTTCGCGAATAACGTACGTTTATATACAGCGGCAGTCTGTTTCCTTCCTCCATAATGAAACAACAAACATACATCGTGTCGCGGACTCCTAACTTGTGGTTCTATAACATGTAATGCTAAACCCGGAACCAGACTTAAAACGCATTTCTCAATCCGTGGTTTCATCATTGGTTTCGGGCGATTTTGAAGTTCTTGGTGGAACGCTGGCTAAATTCATGTCCCGATTTCACACCAAAAAATGGATACGGACGGGCCCACCTTTAAATAATCAGAAACAGTTTTGTATAATGCAATTAGGTTTTAACGTTGTCAGCGATCAGCGAACAACAAAATCTTGACCCGAAGCCAAACCAGTTATAAGACCGAAGTTTCACATCTTCTTATCTGTGACGTGAGCTAGCAATGGAAACTGTTGGTTGGGTACCATACAGCATACGCATACTTTATGTCTTTGGATTTCCGTAATAGATAGGTGCCTTGTATTCTTTCTCTCTTGTGTTTGTTGCTTTTTATTGTAATTTAGTGTTCAAATATTTGTGACTCGAATTGACTCGAGCTAAATACTTGACTCGACTCGACTCGACTCGACCACACTCTGTGACTCGACTCGACTCGACTCGACCTTGTTGGCCTAATGACTCGACTCGACTCGAGTCACTTCTTTAAAATGACTCGACTCGACTCGAGTCACAAAAATCAGTGACTCGTTACAATTCCTGCAGTATGGACAAAAATTCCTGCAGTATCGTTCAGCCTGTTGTCTAATTCGCGATGTATTGGAGTTGTATGGGTATATTTCACGAAGAACTGGTTCTCTAATTGCCAAGGCAAGTGTAACAGCAATGCTTATCTGGTACCTCATTTATTTATTTATATATTACAATTCTTTACCCTAAAACAAATTTAAGACGAATTCCGTAAATACACCTGTAAATAACAAGTCTTGTTATTTACCGGTGTATTTACGGAATTCGTCTTAATATGTCTTATCCTGCGGCTGTTTTGAACAGGAAGTATTCATTAAGACGAAGCCTAGCATGACTTCGGTTTATGGATTATAAATGTAGTCTTGTAGCGTTGTACAAATTACAAAGTACAGTTTCTTATTAAAGTCATAGTCATTCCATACAAACAGAAATGATTCACTGAAGCAGTATATTGTGACATCAATTATGAATATACATGTATTTGTTAGGTAGCGGTATATTGCGATTACAAAGTACGTTTGCTCATTAAAGTCAGAGTCTTTTCGGAAGAGTACACTTCTGTGACATAAAGCACCTGATAGTCGAGGGTTTTGGGTTGAATAAAACTTCATCATGAAGTTGCCGAGATGTTTGCGTGATTGGTGGGGCTGGAAAGTCGTCGTGCCCGCCTCCCTGCATTTTGCAGTCGCTTTAAGACTAACCTTCAACTACCACATCTATACCAATAAAATTGTATTGTTTCTTATTTCTCTTTGTCACACTATTTGATATGTTTTGCATTATGCTAAGGAAAATTGATTGCAATTTTTTTAGGAAATCAAAGAGTATCGTTCAGATTGTTGTCTAATTCTCGATGTAGTGGAGTTGTATGGATATATCACCCAGGACTGGTTCTGATTGCCGAGGGAAGTGTTAAAGCCAGGCGCGGTTCTAGAGCCAATTTTTTTTGGGGGGGGGGCTAGCAAGGTGGATCCAGAATTTTTTTCAGGGAGGCGTGCTGAAATATAGTCAGGTTATTTTCTCCGGACACTTAGGTACGTCAAATTCTTACATTTTCCTAGTGCATTTTTTTTATGGAAATGTTTGGGGTTTTTTTTTTTTGGGGGGGGGGGCTAGAGCCCCCTAGCCCCCCGTAGAACCGCCACTGGTTACAGCTATGCTTATCCGCTACCTTGAACACATTTAAGATGAATTCCGTCAATAGACCGGTGATTGACAAGATCATACCTCCTGCGACTGTTTTGAACAGGAAGTATTCGTTAAAGGGAATATACATCATTTGCTTTTGCTGCAATTTTCAGAAATGGACGGAATTGGGGGGTTGGGAATATATAGCAAATATAGTTACACTGACTTTTTGAGGTTTTGGGTTCGAAAATGCTATAAAAACCAAGAAAAACAATCATTTTCCTGTAGTCTGGTTCCCTGACTCCATATAAGAAGAAACAGAGCAGTTTACACACATTGGGGAATTGTAAGGTCAGGGAACCAGTCTAGCTGGCTTGTACCCGTTCATAGGTGTGTAATCGATTGCAAACAAGTGCGATGGTCAATTGGGGCCAGTATTTGTAAAAAAAAGCCAGTTTTTTCCAACGCTGATCGGCCGATCAGCGTTGGAAATTGATACAAAAATAGCACTTTCTTGAAAATGAGAGTATACCAGGTGCCGTGATTTTACAGGATGCTTTACACTGTCATTCACTAACAGTCCAGCAAGGTATTTCAAAATGATTTGGTAGTTTTATTTTTTGATGTTTGCAAATGTTGTATTTTCCCTTTAAGGCGAAGCCGAAAGCATGACTTCGGTTCATAGGTTATGAAAGTACGAAGTGCAATGTACAAAGTACCGTTGTACCGTTTTATATTAAATGATAGTCATTCCGTACAAGCAGAAACGATTCACTGAAGCAGTGCATGTACAGTGTGACCTGAATTATGAATATATCAGTCGGGTAGCGGTTTACGGGGATGACAAAGTACGTTTGCTCATTAAAGGAAGAGTCTTTTCGGAAGAGTACACTTCTTTGACATAAAGCACCTGATGATCCGAGGGTTTGATTGGACAATACTTCATCATGAAGCTGCCGAGATGTTTGCGTGATTGGTGGGGCTGGATAGTCGTCGTGATCGCCTCTCTGCAGCTTGCGCTTGCTATAGGACCAATATACAACTACCACATGTACCTGCTCAGTTTTCAGGAGGAGTTTGGTACAAATACGGCCATAACAGGTGGGATTATTTTTGCCCTCAAATGCTGGACTTCTTCCCAATTGCCAGTCACACAGCAATCTATGAAGCCCGGGAAGGGACAGGGTGGATTTTTTTTTTTGAATTTCCTAATTCGTTCGCACGAATTACTAATTCGTTCGCACGAATTGCTAATTCGTTCGCACGAATTACTAATTCGTGCGAAAGAATTACTAATTCGTTCCCACGAATTACTAATTCGTTCCCACGAATTACTAATTCGTGCGAACGAATTAGCAAACTCCAAAAAAAAATTCCACCATGTCCCTTCCCGGGCTTCATAGCAATGCGTTTTAACTTCCCTGAATAAAAAAAAAAATCCCGAATTTCAAATCTGAAACTTGATACTTGATATTAACTGTAAAAGTTGCTCACTCGGTTAATAACAACCATGGTAGAAACAGTGGCGTCGCCAAGGGGGGGGGCCAGGGGGGCACGTGCCCCCCCCCCCGGAAAACCTAGTCCCCCCCCCCAGTGCCCCCCCCCCGAGTGCCCCCCCCCCCCATCAAATGCTGGTGCCCCCCCCCCCCCTATCCTCTGCAAAATTCTGCGCGTTGTTAAAATCATTACCTCAAAAATAGCAATTTCTGGAGATATCTTCAGATCGAATTTAGCATCAAATGTGGCACCATTTTGCATCTAGCCCATCCTCCGTATGCGAAAATTTTCCAAAGGGGAGGGGG